CATGGAAGCAACCTAAATGCCCATCAACAGACAAATGGATAACAAAGTTGTGGCACATATATACAATGGAATATTACTCAGCCATAAAAAAGAATGAAATTTGTTGAGACATGGATGGATCTAGAGACTGTTATACAGAGTGAAGTAAGTCAGAAAGAGAAAATCAAATATCGTATAATTAATGCATGTATGTGGAACCTAGTAAAATGGTACAGATGAACCAGTTTGCAGGGCAGAAGTTGAGACACAAAGGTAGAGAACAAACGTATCAACACTAAGGGGGCAAAACCACGGTGGGGTGGGGTTGGTGGTGTGCTGAATTGGGCAACTGGGATTGACATGTATACACTGATGTTTATAAAACTGATGACTAATAAGAAACTGCAGTATAAAAAAACAACTAATACTAAACTTTCTTTGGGTTATTTATATGGAAATATGTTAATATAAATGTTTCAGACATTACATGAAACTTCTAAAAATCTTATACATTCTGGTTTAATGTTATAAGTCATAATTCTAGTTATTACTTTAAAATGTGTATCTTCTCAGAAATAACTAGATTTCCTTGTCAATTGCATTATTATGAACTTTCATCAAATCTTTATCCGTGGTCATTTTTAAGTCTTTTGTCATTTACAGACAGTTCTGGATGTACTGTGATGCTTTTGCAAAAGTGTTCCTATAAAAGGGTTTCATCTTCAAGGAATTCATGGAAAAGACTGACAAGTACAGGTTTCTGGTAACTGACTATACTGCTGAACTGAATGAATAAGCATTTTCAGAACTCTAATGGAAAAGTGATGAATTCATCAAAGTGCTAACAAAAGATCAAGATAAAAAAAATTAATTACATGGGACTGAGTCAACTGATGAGGATGATTATAATCTTTGTGACTTTGAATTAAAAAAAAAATGGGCAAAAGATCTAAATAGACATTTCTCCAAAGAAGACATACAGATGGCCAAAAAGCACAAGAAAGATGCTCAACATCACTAATTATCAGAGAAAAGCAAATCAAAATTACAATGAGGTATCACCTCACGCCGGTCAGAATGGCCATCAGCAAACATTCTACAAACAGTAAATGCTGGAGAGGGTGTGGGGAAAAGATACCCTCCTACACTGTTGGTCGAATGTAAATGGTACAACCACTATGGAGAACAGTATGAGGTTCCTTAAAAAACTAAAAACAGAACTACCATATCCAGCAATCCCACTCCTGGGCATACATCTGAAGAAAACCGTAATATTTACAAAAGGATACATGCACCCCTATGTTCATAGTAGCACTATTTACAATAGCCAAGACATGGAAGCAACCTAAATGTCATCCCAAATTATTTACAAAACAGAAAGAGTCACAGAGGTAGAAAACAATCTTATGATTACCAGGGAGGATGGGATCCTGGGAGGGATAAATTGGGAGACTGCGCTCGACATATACACTAGTATATATAAAATAGATAACTAATAAGGACCTACTGCATAGCACAGGGAACTCTACTCAATACTCTGTAATGGCCAACATGGGAACAGAATCTAAAAGAGTGGATATATGTATATATATAACTGATTCATTTTGCTGTACACCTGAAACTAACAACACATTGTAAATCAACTATGTTCCAACAACAACAAAAGAATCCAAAGACTTGGACTGTAATCCAAGTTATTAATATTGTAACTCTGGGTGAACTATTTATCCTCTGTGCATATCAGGCTTCTTATCTGTAAAATGATTAAAGATGATAACCTTTCCTAACCACATTTCAGGGCTACTTTCTAGTAGACTGTGAGATACATAAATGCTCGGGTATTTTCTCTTTTTTCCTGGCCGTGATGCACGGCATGCGGAATCTTAGTTCCCGGATCAGGGATCGAACCTGTGACCCCTGCAGTGGAAGCGCGGAGTGTTAACCACTGGACCGCCAAGGAAGTCCCGCTGGGATGTTTTCTTACTTTGCCAAAACAAAGTCACAAAGTTATGTGCGAACTGTGAAGAGTTCTTACTGTATCCTATCTGAGTTCATAGCAATTAGAAGCATTTTGGAAGCAGAGAACGAGCGAATCAAGCTAGACTGCTAGAAAAAGGGGCAACAGGAAGGTTTGGGATATGACGGCCGAACAGTCAACAGTGAGAGCACTGGCAGTCTGGTCTAATGCACAGAAACAGCTCAAAGGGCCCTTCACGTTTCTAGGACCCAGGGAGGTGAGAGGGGGGTGGGAGCACCATCCATTCATTAATCTACTTATCAAATACTTAATCACAGAAAACATGATGTATCAATACAAGGTGTCTTTTCATTGATGATCCTCAGTTTGTTTAAAGAAAGTAATAAGACTGGTCTAAGTTATTTTTTGGAGTAAGACAGGTTTAAATATATTCTAACTGAAGAGAATAGCGAAATATAAAATGCATGGCTATTTAGGTCCAATATGGTTAAAGTGAGAACATGTGATTGGCTCTTAAATGCGTAAATTTTTACTCATTTACTGAAAAATTCACATATGTGGAACTAACTCCAATGATATCACATGATGATGTACTGTAACATCTATATTCACATTACTCAAATGACTACTTTAGGTAAGAATATATTAAAAAAAAGAGGGACTTCCCTGGTGGCACAGTGGTTAACAATCCGCCTGCCAATGCAGGTGTGCTCCACAATAAGAGAAGCCACCACAATGAGAAGCCTGTGCACCGCAAGGAAGAGTAGCCCCTGCTCACCGCAACTAGAGAAAGCCCTCACGCAGCAACAAACACCCAATGCAGCCAAAAATAAATAAATAAATTTAAAATTTTTTAATAAATAAATAAATAAAATTTAAATCTATAGGTCTACTTAAGTAAACTTGCTCAGTCTGCGAAGCTTATGACCATAGGCTATCGGTTAATTTTCTGCTCCTCTGTGGTAACACTGTTCTGTGGCACAAACTTGATTTTACCCTGGTACCAAATAATTTCCCACCTAACATGACAAGTTAGGTTTTATAGGTATCTTAGGCCTATTTACATCTTATATTTTTACATGGTACTTTCATAACGGCATGCAAATTCTAAGAAAAAAAAAAGAAAATCTGTTTTTCTTCCAAAAGTCAATTCTTCAATTTCAAACATAAGGACTTGGATTTTCTAGTAAGTAACCCTCAGTATTGAGATGACATGTATTATTGTGACTGTGGATATGAATTATTTTAACACAATAAAGTTATATTATTAAAAGAGTCATAGAAACCTTTTCTAGCAATAAGTTAGTATGAAAAGTAGTCTTGGGAAGAACAGTGTATTTAGGGGGAAAAAACCAGTCATCTGACCATTCAATAATCCAGCGTGGCCTCTGCCTCTTTCATATGCATCGAGCCATGTTCCTATCACTGTTGTTCAATTCTCAGAATAGATGAACTGAAGAGAAACTATTTCTTTGTAGAGACAACAAACTAATACGTAAACATAGGCAATGAGTACAAACAGCCTTGGGAAGACAAGTTTAGTTCTGAAGAGCTAGAACACCTCATAAGAAATCTACTTCAGTAACCAGAGGAGCCTGTCTGGAGACGGCAGGGCAGAACCTCTACAACAGCTGAGGGCCCGTCTTGATGCTGCAGCTCAGTCAGCCCTGCAGGGGACAGTCCTCAAACTTTACCTAACTTGATGGCAAGCAAGAATCATGTACACCAATGACAGGCTTTTCACAGAGACAAAATACCAGATAGGAATCTTGAAGGAAATTCTGAAATGTGCATAAACGAGATTTTAAAAGTTAACTAAGTACTATGAACTAAGAACTTAATTTGTCCTATACAGTTAAATTTTTAAGAACAGAAGTGGGGAAGAAGACGTGTTGATGAGAAAGAAATTAATCAGATATAATAAATTTGAAACCATTCATTTTATTTATATATGCCACAATGACCTTAATATTAACAAAAGTCACAGGGTCCCATTTGGTCTCTTCACTCCACATTAATCCAGGAAACAAAGCTACTGAATTGTATTTTAACAGCAATCTGACACCTCTTACATTTCCACAAAAGCAGTTCAGTGTACTTTTCCTACAGATTTAAAACAAACAAGCTGTTTCCTTTCCAGGAAGCTACAAATGTCATCCCTTTGCTTACCTAGTAACTGTAGTGACAAACTTGTTTGCTGTATCCAGGATACTCACCTACCTACCTTATAAGTCTCTGTTCTTTTGTTAAGTCTTTTGTTAACGCTGTCCAGTAAGTGAGCATACAATGCAGCATAATTTTGTGTTTATAAAAGCCTTATTGACTTTCTGGTTCTAAACACTTGAGGGATCATTTAGACAACTCAGTGTACTTTAGATATGGGGGATAGCAATAGTGGCAGAGCCCTGATAAAAACCCTCTATTGGTTCCTATTATACTGCTCTCTATTTTCCCTTAGATGAAAATTAAGGAGTAAGAGTTCAGCTGAGTAAATTTAAAGCATCTTCTGAAATTCACCGAAACCTCTGTAAAAGACAGTAAATATATACAAATTCTAATCCTCTGCTAAGTGCGTGAGAACTTATGTTACAGTAATAAATAAATAAGCATTCTAATATCAGGTAAAGCCTAATATTTTATAAGGGAAATGCAATAAATACGTCTGTAAAAGGCAACTAACTGAACTTAAGAGATTAAATATTACTAAAAAGCTGACCACCAAGTCACTTTGGCCGCAGGGGGCATGAGAATCCATGGGAGAGTACCTTCCTTTCTGAATTCAAATCCTTTAAAGTTTTAAAGTATTTATTCAGAAGAAAGGTAGCTACAAAGAGTTTAGAAAAACAGATGACTTGGCAAACTACGTAAGAGATTAATTTTTCATTGTTCATTTTCTTCTCTTTGATGCTCACATTAAGTATGTATGTTCAATGTCTATAATACACTGGGCACAGTGCCATCATAAAGAATGTATGTACCTGTTACACAGGTACACATGACTATGCCTGGAGGCCCCACCTGTAAGTTCCACCCACATACTTACGGAATTCATCCCACTGAACAGGTCTCCTGACCCCACGTGAGCCGTGTGCACAAAGTTTGTGGGCTCTCCAATCATACTTCGGTCAATCCGCCGGCGCCTTTTCTAAAATATAAGGATAACGTGTTGAGAAAATGATCTTGTTAACAAAAACTTATTCTGGTAGATTTATATACTATGCACAAATGACTTCGTATAATAATATTTTTGCTCAGGACACAAAAATACCTAAATCTTGGTATCACCACAATCACCTCTTATGATGATATCCCCCAGAGAAATATATGCACAAAAAAATGATTGGTAAAGTAAAATAATAGGTTATTATTTAGAACTTAAAATAGATTATTTGGTCTGACTTTAGCCATCCACATATTTATATAGTAACCATTTAAGTTTTATTCTTTTAAAAAGTGAGACAAATGTAAAATTATCATCTGTAACCATCATTCTTAGCAAAGAAGACTGTGACTTAAGTGCAGCATTCTGATTTTAAACAAAACATTCTAGCTTGCATCATTAACAGACTGATGCTATTTTGATGGTTGTTACTGAGATTATACCCAACTACCCTTCACCCGGAAGGAATCTGTCAGCTATCTGTGCAGGGGAGGTTTGGCTCTAGCCCATTCACTGATTTCTGGCCTATTCTGGCTGCAAACGAAACCCTGTCCAAGCAGCCACCCAGGCTGCAGTTTACTGCCTCTTCCTCATTTCTGACCCCACTTCCCAGCATCTTCCCAGGAACTTCAGCCACAGGCTGCAATCCTTGTTCTACCAACATGCCCTCCGCCTCACTAGACACTTCCCTACCCTGCTGCTGTGTTAAACTGACCATCCGAGATTTTTCCACAGAAGACGGTTATCATCAGACCCTAGTGTTCCATGGCTCCTTAGATACTGTGATCAACTGAGAGGGGCCACAGGCACAGCTGGCTTACTGTCCTAATACCATCTCTGTGTATCCCCATTTTCTTCCCTTTCAACAGAATACTTCTCCTGAAAATGCCATCTGCATCAAAACTAAGGCAAGTTACAAAGTTGTTGGATTAGGTTAGGTTGCCTCTGAACATAGTATGTTAAGTCTCCATCTACTGAAATGTTGCTATGCTGCTGATAAATCCTAAAAACTTATCCAGATAGACACAGGTGACAGCTCCTCAGGATTAGAACATGATTTTCTACAAAGCCACAGAAGTGGAGAGTTCATACATTAATTTTAGAAGCTAGTATATATTGTTTTACTGCCCTCTAGCTTTTATTGCCACAGATTAAAATCCCAAAAGCCTGTTGTTTTCCCTTGAAGTATTTATGTTCATCCTCAGAGTTGAACAGTGACTCTGGACTATCTCCAGGTTTGCTGGTTTTCCCTTCCAGTGTTCTGTATGGCATATGGAAGTCCCTCTCTATCTGAACACGGGTTTTACTATAGCTTAGTAAAGTTTGCTTGTATTATTTCTTTGATATTGCTCCTTGTGTTCTTTTTTGCTATTTCCAGAGCTTCTGTTATGTGGACATCCGAATGTGTGTTTGTGTGTCTAAGGGGGGTCGGGGGGAGGAGGGAAGGAGGGAGGGAGAGCGTGTGTCTGTGTGTATGCATGTGTGTGTGTATAATCTTCCTAGTTTCTTCCATTATTTGTTTCCTCTTTATAGTTTCACTGTATTAGAAAATAATGCCACTTGATCCTCTTTAGGAATCTACAACTGTTTTCGTACAGTCCAGAGAGAAAAAAATTTTTTTAATGATTTAAATTTATTTATTTATTTATTTATTTATGGCTGTGTTGGGTCTCCGTTTCTGTGCGAGGGCCTTCACCAGTTGTGGCAAGCGGGGTCCACTCTTCATCGCAGTGCGCGGGCCTCTCACTATCGCGGCCTCTCTCGTTGCGGAGCGCAGGCTCCAGACGCTCAGGCTCAGTAATTGTGGCTCACAGGCCCAGTTGCTCCGCGGCATGTGGGATCTTCCCAGACCAGGGCTCGGACCCGTGTACCCTGCATTGGCAGGCAGATTCTGAACCACTGCGCCACCAGGGAAGCCCCAGAGAGGAAGTATTTTAAGCCTGCAGGCCATACAGTCTCTGTCAAAGCTCTGGCTCCACTCTGTCATCACAGTGTGTAAGCAGCCACAGACAATGTGAGAACAAATGAGTATAGCTCTGTTCCAGTAAACATTTATGCACAAAAAAGGGTGGCAGGTGACATAATGGCCCATAAGTTCTGGCTTGCTGACCCCAGCTCTAGATCAGTAATTTTTTTTCAGTGGTAGATACATTATTATTTTTCTCCAATTATGATTATGTTTTGGAAGCTCTTTGCTATGCAATATTTTTAATCTCTTTGAGAATCTGTATTACATGTTTTCCTTTTTTCCTATCAAAGATGCCTGACTGAATGAATTATAGTCTATAACACCCAGGAGTAAAATATTCATTCCTGTACTTCTCCAAATTTAGTTACTTCAAGCCCCTTTTTGAAGGGTTACGAAATTCAATCAGTCCTTTGGGACAGTGTCCCATAGGGTTGTATAAAAATTTCAGGTTAAAATGGTGTCAGTAAGCCAAGGAAGGGTCTGGATCCCTTGTCTCTGATCTTCAATTTTGTTTCTTAGCACAACACGCCAATTTCCTGCTCTCTTTTCCTTACATGGTGCTACTTAAGGAGGCTCACACAGATTCCCTGCCCCTAACCACAGACTTGTCACCTGCAGCCATCCTTTGATGTGGGAGGCCAAGTGCCACCAATGCAGGATAGTCTCTTCCACCCTGTTTCCCATTTTTTTCTACAGACTCTTGAGTTTGTCTATTTCTACCCACCCCATTCAACATACTTCCCCTTCATACTATTCTCTTCTGAGACGATACGGCACAAATCCCTAAATGAGCCTTGAGAAGCAAGGCTATCTTTTCTAGGATTAAGGTAGGGAAAAGAAGATGTTAACAGTAGTTTTGTCTGTTTTCTTCTTGGTAACATACTGTTACATTACCATTAAATTTGTCTTGTTAGAAAACTATGTTTCTCAAAGCACATCCAAGTGCATCTTCACCAGCAGAGGACATGAATTTTCTTGACACCTGAGTAGGGCAAATTGTTGGGGTTTCTTCCACAGTACGCCCCCTGACGTACTGAAGGAAGGAGGCTTCCAGGGTCTCGGCACACCCCAGACTGAGCAGTAAAGGCTAGACGTCTACAGATGAAGACAAAGGACGGCAGTTATGTTCCATGGGCTCATGGCGTCTGCCAGACTGAAGACTTCCCCGAAGGCCTTGTGAGGCTAGCCTGCAGGGGCAACAGCTCCTGAGGTACAGATGGTGCCACCTGGCTCAGCCAGAGGGTCCGCTGAAGCAGGTGATGGGCTGGCCTATTTCAGAGAATAAGATCTACTTCCAGATCGTCCCTTGCCCTGTGAACACATAGGACTTCTAACAGTTCTGAATCCACATCATTTCCTCCAGAAGGGTGTGTCTAGGGCTGAGCAGATGGCTACACCTGGCCCACGAATCCACATTAAGGGATTTATTCTAACAGTCGAATTATTGCAAGAAGATGCTGGGAGAGAGGATTCACCATGGAGCACTCAGGCCACCAGCCATCTCACCCAGAAATGTTTCTTGAAAGATTAATGAATGGATGTGCTTCTAGGTCGATATGCTTCTGAAAGAGGCATACTGACATACACTTATAAACATAATATGACACTCTGAATAATGAGGGAGGATGTTCAAAAGGAGATAACTAAACTGGTTCAAAAGAGACTACTCTCGGGGCTTCCCTGGTGGCGCAGTGGTTGAGAGTCCACCTGCTGATGCCGGGGACACAGGTTTGTGCGCCAGTCCGGGAAGATCCCACATGCCGCGGAGTGGCTGGGCCCGTGCGCCATGGCCGCTGAGACTGCGCGTCCGGAGCCTGTGCTCCACAATGGGAGAGGCCACAACAGTGAGAGGCCCGCGTACCGCAAAAAAAAAAAAAAAAGAGAGAGAGAGACTACTCTCACAGTGAAAAGCAAAGGACAGGAAGACACCGACTTCCTTCTGTCACAGCAATTATGTTAGATAATTAATTTATAATCTGAAAATAATGACTACTTTTCAACTTGAACTTTACTGAGTTGGGAATGAGACTTCCTTTAGTACTGAAAGGGTTCTTCATGCCATCTACTCTAACCTGTATTGTAGGGTTAGAAGTAGAAGTTTTCTGTCTTTCCTTCTTTAAGGATAGAAGGAGCACAACTTTTAAAGCAGGGTAGTTAACATGATCAAAATGGTTTTAAAAGGCATAATAGCTACAGATGGAAAGCAGGTTGGAGGGGTCCAAAAGAAAAATTATTAGAGTAATGTTGGTGAAAGGAGATTACTTGCATTCAACTAACAGCAGCATAAATGGAACGTGTACAGATTCAAGCTGTGTTCAGTGGGTAAAATCAAAAGCATCTGGTTGTTGACTGGATTTGAGAATTGAGAGGTAACAGTTAAGAAAGATACACAGATTTCAGATCTGAATAGAGTGTACTCGATTTACTGGATTAGATAATACTGGAAGAGGGTCAGTCTTTAGGAAGAAGATGAAAGATTCTGTTTAAGACACACCGAATTTGAGACATCTATGAGACATTCAAGTGAGGTTATCAAGAGGGCAAGTTGAATACACAGATATAGGATTCTGAAAAGGGCTAAACTAGAGATAGGAAATTGAGAGTCACCAGAATAAAGCTGTCCAAGTTAATGAGACTTCCTAGGAAGAAAAGTACACAGAGGAACTCTATATAAGGTTGGTCAGGAAAATAAGCCATTAAAGGAGGCCCAAAAAGAACATCCTAAAAGTTAGGAGGAAAGTCAGATGTGACTTCTTCAAAGTGTGAAGGAGGGGTTAGGCAATACTCTCTGCAAGCTGGCGGGAGGTCAGGTGAAGAGAAACATGTTTCCTGGATTCAGCAACATGAAGTGAGCACCTTGGTGATGCTGTGCCAGCACAGCAACAGGAGCTCCAGACATCAGCGGGGGACTGAGGGGCATCCAGGAGGTGGGGAAATGGAGAACTCCAACACAGACAAGTGGGCAAAGTCTGGCCTCTGAACAGGAGAAGACAGACAGCTGTGGCTCAAGGGAGAA